CTATTCCTATTCCTATTCCTATTCCTATTCTATTCCTATTCCACTCCACATTTTCTGTTCTGTTCTTTTCTGTTCCGTTCCACTCCACATTTTCTGTTCTGTTCTGTTCCATTCTGTTCTACTCCATATTTTCTAGTCTATTCTAGTCTAGTCTAGTCTAATCTAGTCTTGTCTAGAATCTTCTGCATAGGATTTTTATTAATATTTCAGTTTAACTGGACTTCACAGGTGGACTTGCTCTTTTATAGCTGAAGCCAAGTTTTACACCGCACGTAAAGAATAACTGAACAATATCATGGCATAACAACTCTGTACTCCCTATCAGCCCTTCCAAATTGTGGATATATAAGATTTGTAGGACTTTTGCCTCCCGAGAATAAAATTCCCCTTAACTGATAGAAGGGAGCCATGAGGTCTTATTATTAGCTTTCAAAATAGCTAAACACATAACAAGGGTGAAGGAGAACAGAATGAGTCTAAAAAAGGCAGAAAGGCTCAGTAAGAATATAGTGCGATACTGAACAGGTATAATAAGCAAGAGTAAGCCTGTCCAACAGGATAGGAGCACATACATGCAGATAGGAGTGGAATAATGTACATTCCAACAATAACTGCCACGATTCTAGACAAAGAGAAATTTATTTTCTTTCAGTAGTCCTAGGTTTGTAATGTTTGATGGCATTCCATGCAATATTAACAGATTAACAGAGTTGGAAGGGACCTTATAGGTCATCTAGTCCAACCCCCTGCCAAAACAGGAGACCCTACACCATTTCTGACAAATGACTGCCCAGTCTCTTCTTGAAAGTCTCAAGTGATGAAATTCCCATAACTTCCAAAGGCAACTTCTGTTCCATTGGTTAATTGTTCTCCCTGTCTCCTTATTTCCAGGTTGAATCTCTCCTTGTTCAATTTCCATCTATTATTCCTTGTCTGGCTTTTGGGTGCTTTAGAAAATAGCTTGACCCCCCTCCTCTTTGTGGCAGCCCCTCAAATATTGGAAGACTGCTATCATAACTCCCTTGGTCCTTCTCTTCACTAGACATGCCCAGTTCCTGCAACTTTTCTTCATATGTTTTAGTCTCCAGTCCCCTAATCCTCTTTGCTGCTCTTCTCTGCACTTGTTCTAGAGTCTCAACATCTTTAGGAAAAAGTACATATATTGCATGTATGTGGTTTGTGTGTGTGTGTGTGTATGTATACATATACATGCATGCATGCATACATATGTATTTATGTACATACCTATAATTGCATTATTTTCTCCAGCAAGGAGCTTGAACATTTAAGTCCATAGAATTCAGTAGTCAAAGCAAAGTTATTAGTAGTAGATCAGACCAGGATTTAACTCCACAGATGGGCTGAAACTATTTTTATTGAGAGTAATTTACACTAACAGAAGCTTGCAAATCTGACTGTGCTACACATCTTCCCCTTTTTCTACTTGCAAAAATTATCTGTCTGAGTCACTCACACATACTTTCTACTTGTCTTGGATGTAAAGATATATTTTCTTCTCATTGCTTTGGTAAACTTGGCAGCTTTAAGACTTGCGGACTTCAACTCCCAGAATTCCCCCATGCCTATAGATTTCTCTGCTGATGTGACATCACAGGACTGGCTGGCTAGGGAATTCTGGGAGTTGGAGTCCACACATCTCAAAATTGCCAAGGTTGGGAAACACTGACCTAACTAAGCTCAGAGACGCCCATTCTCAGTTCATGTTTACCTTTGAATCATGTTAAGCATTTGTGAACTGTACACGTAGTCCCCGACTTACAACAGTTCATTTAGGGACTGTTCAAAGTTACAACGGCACTGAAAAAAGTGACTTATGACCGTTTTTCACACTTACAACCATTGCAATATGATTAAAATTTGGCAACTTATTCATATTTATGACTGTTGCTACGTCCCAAGGTCATGTGATCCCCTTTTGCGACCTTCCGACGAGCCAAGTCAATGGGGAAGCCAGATTTACTTAACCACCATGAGGCTAACTTAACAACTGCAGGGATTCACTTAACAACGGTGGCAAGAAAGGTCGTAAAATGGGGCAAAATTCGCTTGACGGATGTTTCGCTTAGCAACAGAAATTGTGGTCATAAGTGGAGGACTGCCTGTGTGAGCAAGTGAAGCCAGTTACACAGCGTGAAAACCTCCTGACTGAATTGTGGACTTGGAAAATTCCAACCCAACCCAATTCACACGTGGCTGGGGAAGTTTAACTAAACATTGCATATAATCCTAAGTAACTAACCAGTCATTCCAAGGGCAGATAAATAGAACTATTGCATGTCTCATATGTGATAAACCACCAACCATCACCAGAAAAGTAAATGATATCCAAGGCAAGGCTGCCGAGTTCAACTCTCTGCACCACTGAGAGGTGTGTGTGTGGGGGGGAAGGGAAATAAACAAGATTTCCATCCTAATTTTGCACCGACCTGCACAGAATGCGGCTAGAGAGCAACTTCTAATGCTCTTAGAGCAACTTCCCACTGTTCTAACCCGGCTCCCCAAACACGACAAACCCTCTGTAGTTAAATCAATGATTCCTTTATTAGCAGCCCCGGCAAAAAGTTTCTCTCTCAATGCAGGCTAACAAGTCCATCCTGCAGGGAAATGAATAGTTGTCTGTCACATCTATTCATCTCTGCCCCCTGCCTTTTATCCCCAAAGCTAGGGTGGGATTTTGCTAGCAGCGGTGGCTCTTCCGTCCCAAGGACCGGCCCATAGATTTCCACTGCTCTCCTCTCCTCTGCCTTCTGTGCATCAGGCACTGGACCCAGCTGTTCCTCCTCTTCCTCATCAGCCACCTGCAGACCTGGGGGCTGTTGACTCTCCAGCTGAGGGCTAACAGACAGCCCAGGCTCCACCTCTGTCTCTCTTTTTGACAGCCCTCTTCCCCCTTGGAGCTTTCAGGTTGCCTTGATGCTGATCCTGACTCCCACACCTCCTCCTCCTCTGATTCGGCTGCTGGAGGGGCCAGTGGTCAATAGGCCACAACACTCATTGGGCATCTGCACCATCACCAACCTAAGAGAATACAGCCAAAAGGAATTGCATGATGGGGATTGCAGTCCATATCTAGGGAACCCTCGATGAGGAAGGCTTGTGCGCACTACTGTACCTTTCCTGCATTCAGCATTTTAAGTCTTGAACATTTCCCTTACTAACAATAGCACTTAAGACTTATATACTGCTTCACAGTGCTCCACAGCCCCTCTCTAAGCGGTTTGCAAAATCAGTATATTGCCCCCAACAATCTGGGTCCTCATTTTACCGACCTCGGAAGGATGGAAGGCTGAGTCAACCTTGAGCTGGTCAGGATCAAACTCCTGGCAGCGAGTAATGAGTTAGCCTGCAATACTGCATTCTAACCACTGCGCTACCACGGCACACTTATAAATTTGATACTAATCTCTGTCTATGCAGTGTGAGGTTTAAACCCCACGGAGTTCCTGGTAGGAAGAACTGGAGACTCTTCCAGGAAAGGATGGATTTGTGAGTTGTCATCTCCGGATCTCTGGACCAGGGATTACAGGGACCCCACCCGGGTCTACAGCTTCCCATCGTCCACTTACTTAGCCATCCCACGCTGGGGCTGCGTTGGATTCCGATTTCATCATCCAGGGTGCAGGTTGCTAGGCAGGGCACAGAGCTCTCAAGTGGGTAGCGAGCTTTAGCGTTGCAAGCAGAAGGTAGAGCAGCAGTCAAAGAGCGGCAGCAAGACGAGAAGGAGACAACAGGATTAGGAAGGAGAGAAAGAAAGGCCACCTCTGCCCCAATGTGGGAGCTTCCAGATTGGTTGGCACTGCCAATTCCAGAACTTCCATTGTATCTAGAGGGTCTCAGGTTGGTGGGTGTGGGTGTGGCCGAAGTAAAGAAACAGAATCAAGACGTGAAAGTTTCCTTGCGTAAAGAGGTCATAGAGGACAACGTGAGGAATCCATTCATCTGCCAATGAAAATTTGAAGTGAATAGCTATCAAATGCACTGCATACATTTTCGGGCACCTGGTCATTTGTACTTTTGAGACTTGTTCTTCTTTGTGAATATCTGCATTGGCACATGAGAGGAGGGGGGGAGAGGAGAGGAGGGATGAGGAGAGGAGAGGATAGGGGAGGGCAGGAGAGGGGAGGAGGAGGGGGAGAGGGGAGGAGGAGAAGAGGGGAGGGGAGGGGAGGAGAAGAGGGGACAGGATGGGGAGAGGAGAGGAAAGGGGAGGGCAGGAGAGGGGAGGGGGAGGAGGGGGAGAGGGGAGGGGGAGAAGAGGGGAGGGGAGAGGGGAGGGGAGGAGGGGAAGGGGAGGGGAGGAGGGGATGAGATGGGAAGGGGGAGAGAAGAGAAGAGAGGAGAGGAGAGGAGAGGAGAGGAGAGGAGAGGAGAGGAGAGGAGAAGAGAAGAGAAGAGAAGAGAAGAGAAGAGAAGAGAAGAGAAGAAGAAGAGAAAGAGAAAACCATACACATTCCAGAAAAAGAATACACGAAACTAAGCTGGAATTTAGCAACTGTTCATAAGATTTTGTTCTTTAACTTAATGACCTCATTCATATGACCTTTTTTGTCAGAAATATGTGAATTAGGTACTGTAAGTGGCATGGAGCCTAGGATGCAAAGTCCCATGGCTGTTTGCATGATATTGTATCATTTACTCTATATATTCACCTCCTCTCTGAACGGGAGTATCTTCTCCCAAACTACAAGTGAGCTGAGGCCACAAAATCCAGGTGTCCTGCCTCCAGTAATAAAGGTCACCCTTAAAAAGTTAAAAGTCTTTTTCCTAGGCCATGAAAACTTTTTAAAATTTTACCACAGGGTTAATTACAGAACTGAACAATTAGCCGATACCTAAGTTCTAGAGAGAGAAACAATGAGCTGTATTTTGGGGACTGGCTCTCTAAAACAAATCAGCAAAATTACTTATTTTGACATTTCATTTCCCATAGCATTCTAGAAATAAAGAATAAGTTTAAAAAACGATACTCCTATAAGATGAAGCAAATGTCCCTGAAATTGGATTAAGTGCTGGGCCTATATATTCCTAAGATCCTAAGAAAAAAGGAGACCCATAAATACATCATATTCATTTCCAACCTGCTGACTTCTAGATATTTGGGACTTCCATTCTGAACTCCCAGCCTTCGTGGCTAACTAAATTCTGACCATTAGGACCAGAGGTGGGTTCTAAAATTTTTTTACTACCAGTTCTGTGGGCGTGGCTTATTTTGTGGGCGTGGCTTGGTGGGGGGGCAATGTGACTGGGTGGGCATGGCCAACTATTTTTTTTTTAGCCAGTGTTGTCCGAAGACACTTTCGTGATCATGTGGCCAGCATGTCTATACACCAAGGCGCACAGAACTTGTTACATTTCCACCGAAGTGGTACCTAGTTATCTACTCGCATTTGCATGCTTTCGAACTGCTAGGCAGACAGAAGCTGAGGCAAGGACGGGAGCTCACCCCACCTTGCAGTGTTCAACTCTCGAACCTGGGATGTTTAGCTTTCCAGCAGACAAGCTCAGAGTCTTGAACCACTGAGCCATTGCCTTCCCATCTGATCTATAGTATCGTATTTATAGCACCCGACTACAAAACATCTGAGATTTGGATCATATTCAATCACAAGCTTAAATCCAGCCATTTTAGATAATGTAATAAATTGTTTTTTCAAAAAAAATAATGTTCAGGTTTTTAAAAAGTCAAGATGGGGAGGAGGAGGAGGAGGAGTTCATGTTTCATGAAGCCAGAGTCAATATTGGGCGCTGTATCTCGTCCCTGGACTAAATTTTCCCTACCTAATATGTTCCTAAATCAGGACAAGCAAAACTGAGCTCAGCGACCTAAGATGTTTTTTTGGTAAAATTTCTGAGCACAACCTATTGGTTGTATCCTGGTAAGGATACCTAAAAAATTGAAAGCAAATGCAAAAACTTTCACACACATTATTTTATAACTCATCACGGAAGATGCTATAGACAAAAATATAAATCTGGCCCAAATTCTGCAGGTTGTTGCTGGATTCGAATGCATGCTGAGAAGTGGCCTGTGTGAGAAAAAAAACAATTTGTACCTGAACATTTGGAAATGTGTTATTCGCGTGATTCCAGCACGTTATGTTGGCAATGAATAAAAACGTGTTCCATTTTGTATGACTTAAAATAACGTGACAATGACTCATTAGCTTGCTCCTTTTAACCTGTCAATCCTCTCCTTCTGTTCTTTTTTTTTTTTCCTCTCGCTTTAGTTTGCAAGTTTCTGCATTATTTAACTATTTGAAATAAAGCAGAATAACATTTCGAGAATAAAATCCCACTGACCTGCCTCCAAGTCAATTAAACTTAATGAAAATTTCAACCTTCCTGATACATTTTTAACAACCTCCAGCTTTAAATAAGTAATCGTGATAAATAAATGATGCATTCTTTGTTTTAGGATAGGATCGCTGGGTTTCTCATTTCTAATGTGGCTTGTTACTTATCTTCCATTATTTTGTTAAGAATAGCTGGCTTTTAGGAAACTATAATCCTATATTTAAGAAATTATTTCGTTCGCTCTTAAAGCATGTTTTTTTTTTCTTCTTCTACAGTCTTCTCTTCAATTCTCATCTATTTCCCTCTTCACTCATATTCTGCAGTACTTAAGAGTAGGAAGAAAATCTTTCGAAAAGTGTAATTCAAATTTGACAAAAGAAGCAAATTAGAGGCATGTAGCATTTTAGAGAAGGTGACATTTTCTTTTAAGTAAAGTAATGCTATTATCGTTCTCATTGCAATTTCCATCTCACAAAGGTGATACAGTATTCCTTTCTGGATTAAGTTTGTGAGGCTTTCATCGTCTTTCCTATTGAAAAAAGCTTTTTTAGAGGGAAAAATGGATAGCTGTACTTAATCTCAAAATTACATCTAATCTCCAGATCCTGGGAAATTGTAACAGTTCAAGTATTTCTAATATGTTCTGCACCTTATGGGTCAAGCATCTGTTCTGTCATGATTTAGATTTTGAAAACCAGTTCCCCATATAATGATAATCTTGCAGGGAAAAAAAAACAGCCTTTCAAATCATAGTTTTATCAAGCAAGTGTCCCTGCCTTAAATTTGGTATTTTAGAAGAGATAATGCTTTTTCGCAATTAACTCCATTGTATTTCCATTGTGGTTTTTCCACCCTGCTACATTAAAAAGAAATAAGGAAGACAAAGCAGAATAATTATTCAAGTGTTATCATGATAGCTGGATAGCACCATGAATCTTCCGTTAGGTTATAAGCTGCAGCTGAACAGAATGTGCATCTGCCTGGATGTAACGCAAAGATCAACGTTTAAGAAGATTCTCCATCATCCAGGTCATGGTTGTCCCAAAGGTGCTTTTTCAAGAGGCAACTGGACTTTCTGGTTTTTAGAATAGAATAGACTAGAGTAACAGAGTTGGAAGGGACCTTGGAGGTCTTCTAGTCCAACCCCCTGCTTAGGCAGGAAACCCTACACCACTTCAGACAAATGGTTATCCAACATCTTCTTAAAAACTTCCATGTTGGAGCATTCACAACTTCTGGAGGCAAGTTGTTCTACTGATTAATTGTTTTAATTCAGGAAATTTCTCCTTAGTTCTAAATTGCTTCTCTCCTTGATTAATTTCCACCCATTGCTTCTTGTTCTACCCTCAGGTGCTTTGGAGAATAGTTTGATTCCCTCTTCTTTGTAGCAACCCCTGAGATATTGGAAGACTGCTATCATGTCTCCCCTAGTCCTTCTCTTCATCAAACTAGACATACCCAGTTCCTGCAACCGTTCTTCCTATGATTTAGCCTCCAGTCCCCTAATCGTCTTTGTTGCTCTTCTCTGCACTCTTTCTAGAGTCTCCACATCTTTTTTACATTGTGGCGACCAAAACTGGATGCAGAATTCCAAGTGTGGCCTTACCAAGGCCTTATAAAGTGGTATTAACACTTCACGTGATCTTGATTCTATCCCTCTGTTAATGCAGCCTAGAACTGTGTTGGCTTTTTTTTGGCAGCTGCTGCACACTGCTGGCTCATATCTAAATGGTTGTCCACTGGGACTCCAAGTTTTCTTTGAAGACGTTTCGCTTCTCATCCAAGAAGCTTCTTCAGCTCTTAAAAAAAGGGCACTTTTGGGACAACCATGACCTGGATGACTGAGAATCTCTCCATAGACCTTTAGCTCCACATTTTAGGTATGGTCATGGAACAATACACCCCCACCAGCACCATTACAATGGGAGGGGGGAACGACACCAAGCACTGCTTTCTTCCCTTGGGGATAGCGCTGCATTTCAGCACGGCCCAGGGCTAATTAAAACCAAAGCATATCCACGACAATTCCCAGGCTACGGCAGAGATGTGCTAGAGCCATGCAACGCAGCGCTACAAGCCTTCGGAATCCATAACTCATAAATCCATCTGCTAAGCCAGGGATCCCCAACCAGAGGTGGGATTCAGCCAGTTCAGACCGATTCAGGCGAACTGGATGCTAATTTTACATCTGGTTCGCCGAACCGGTAGTTGCAAGGACTGGCTGGCCCCGCCCACCCCACCCTTCCCCTCCCAGGAGTCTCCACGTGGCCCATTTTGGATGCCAGGTAAGTGCAGCACCCACGTGGAGGTTCCGGAAGTCTGGAAATGGGGCCATTTCCATTCTCCAGAGGGCCTCCATGGCCACGCCCACCCAGCAACCGGGCAGAGAACCGGTTGCTAAAATTTTTGAATCCCACCCCTGTCTCCCCGTCCATGGACTGGAACCGGGCCAAGTCATGCCAGCCACCAGGCCGTGCAAACAAGCGAAGCCCCATCCGCGGGAATGCAAGTAGCACGTGAAACCACGCCCCTTCCGGTCCGCGGGAAAAAACTCTCTCCACGGAACCGGTCCCCGGTGCCCAAAAGGTTGGGGGCCGCTGTGCTAAGCTACTCATGGATTAGATGCGTCTCCATGAGCTGAGAGCAGAGTTAGCTTTTCAGAGCATCTCTACGGGAAGGCTACAGCCCACCGACCTCTGCATTACCATTATCAGGGTTGGTTAACATCCTACTTGCACTGGAGACGGTCTTTCCAATGTCGGCCAATGACCGGAGGTTGGATTTTTTGGTCTGGTGCCGATGTTTCCTGAGCAGCGTGTAGATGACTTTGTCCTTCATGTCTTGCTTTAGCAGGCCGGTGTCGATCTGGTTGTCCACAACCATCTCTGTTGAGGCGAAAAGAGAGACCATCAACCGGATGAGAAGAGGCGAGAAAAAGTGAAAAGTGGACGGAGTTGACTTGAAATGGGAAAACTGACCACTTTGATTAAAGAAAAGAACCGTAAGTACTATTGTTTCCACATGGAAACCGCTTCTGGACTTCATGCTTGATGTGGAGAAGAATGAAAATCTAACTTTGGGTTTTACTGATTAGACTGATAGATCTTTACAGAAATGGCTTGTTCATATTATTATGAAAAAGCAAAAAGTGATTTGATGTTAATGCCTTATTTTACTGTAAAAGAGAGAGTCAGAAGTCAATGTTTCTTTTTCTTTTCCCCCCTATCTTTCCTCACTTCTCTTCCTCTCTCCCCCACCTCCCCACTGTTTTTCTATTGACTTTCGTATTTTATATTTTACAATTTACTTTATAATAAAAAAATGTTAAACTAGAAAGAAAAGGTGAAAAGCTGGTTGGAAGTTGGTGGCTGGGTCCATAAACTTCCAAGAGGCAAACAAATAGGGAAGATTTCCTCAGTGGGATGATTCAGGTTGCATCCCGCCCATCCAGCTACCCTTACAGGTAGTCCTCAACTTACAACAGTTCGTTTAGTGACCGTTCGAAGTACCACATGCCTTGGCGTAATGACAACATGTGTGTTACTACCACCAAGTAACTATGTGGGCAGTTGATCAGGCAAATTAGTGAAGAATCAGACATTTTTTTCACATATCAAAATTCAACTGCCACAAAATTGGAATTATCACTACGTCTACCACACTTGTAACCAGCCCAGTCACACTATGATGCAGTATTATTCCTTTATATTTTTATATTTTATATATTAGATTTATATTAAAAGACTGGACAGCCATTTGTCCGGAATTGTATGGGGTCTCCTGCTTGAGCATTTCATCTCTTGTAAGTGCTCTCAAGAGGCTCAATCAAATCAAACTAGGAATTTAATTTATTCTATTGGAATTTATGTATTTATAGCTTCTATTGTATAATTATTCATTATTCCCAGGGCAATTTACAATAGAAATAAAAAGAACTTACATAAACATACAAACTCAATTGTAATAAACTTTAGGTGATATAATTTCTCCAAACCAGTCATAAACATTAAAAAAAAAAGCAAATATCAGAATATTGTTTGCACATTTTATTCTATAGTTACAGCTGGTTGATTCTTTTTCTGCTTTATATCTATAAACTGAAATTTCTAATGTAATATTACTGTTTGTTTTTCCTCGAGGTTATTGATATTCTACTAAGATTCCTCAGAGTTAATGAAATGTTTTCAGCATACAGAAACACTTGATTTTACTTTTTTATTATTATTACATTCCAACTTTTCCCCTACTTTCCTCTTTTACCAAAACCTCTAGGTTTTAATCTGACAAGTGGCAGTAAGTACAGATTGATTAGAAACAATTTACACCTTCTTGCCTTTTAAAGAAAGGAATTGCTTCTTTTCTCTACCTGTGGAATTAACTGTAAACAATGGACATTAAATGTATAACCCTACAAATAAGAATGTGAGTTGAGGTCCAATTCTCTTTCTTTTTTTTTACAACAAGTTTTTATTTTATTTTATAACATATAAAAATTCCAATTTCAATTGAACACTGTATTGTCTGGGTACAAATCATTTTAGGAAATAATAGTCAAAGTGTTTACAACAGTATTCATTGCATTAGTATCAATAATAATAATAATAATAACAACAACAACAACAACAACAACATTTGTTTAACCAATTTAACATACCTTCCTTGTATCACTGATCCTTCCATATATTTCCCTGTTTCTAGCTCCTGTTTTTGTCAGCTAACCATTGGTAAAATAAATATTCAAAAAGTATTTCTTTCTTTTCCTTAATTATAAGTGTTAGCTTATCCATTTCTGCACATTCTAGTATTTTTTTAATCACCTTTTCATCCGTTGTGATCTTTTTATTTTTCCACTGTTGTGCAAATAGTATTCTACCTGCAGTCAGTACTTGTAAAATCAAATATACATTCCCTTTATTATATTTGTCCGGTAAAATGCCCAACAAAAATGTCTCTGGTTTCAAATCAATATGCTGTTTTATCATTTTTTCCAGCCATGTATGTATTTTTGTCCAATATTTTTTTTGCTTTTTGGCATGTCCACCACATATGATAGTAGGAACTAGATGTGCTGGCATTTCCAACATTTTACAGATTTATCCTTAAACATCTATGCTAACCTTGAGGGTAGAAAGTGTCATCTATAAAACATTTTATAAAGATTTTCTTTGTATGCAGTAGACATTGTTAATTTATAGTTTCTATCCCATAGTTTCTGCCATTTATCTAACTCAATCGGATAGCCAATAGTTTTTAGCCCATACTATCATTGTCTCTTTTACTTGTACATCTTCCATCTTAATACGGAACAAGTAGCTATACGTTTTATTAATTTTTCATCTGTCCCTGTTAATATTTGATCTAATTCTGTTAATTCTCTATATCAACCATACATTTTAACATCCTTCTCATATCTAGATTGCATCTGCACACATGACCACATATGATCCAATTATCTTCCTAGTTTGAGAGTGAGCTGTTTTAAAAACCGGAGAACAAAACATGTTTTTTCTTGAATAGAGTCCAATTGCTTCTTGCATAACTATCCTGCAAATCTACTGAATCTGGTGGGATTCTAATAAATCACCAAGAATGCTATATAGCCTCAAACTCTGGACAGAATTTAGCTTCTTTCAGTTCAGATTCCACTTGATGGACCATCTAAGCCTACTGAACTTTGAGGAGAGATTATAAACCTAGCCTTTCAATCTCAAATTCAATGTCATATTCATAGTCATAGAATCATAAGACTGGAAGGCAGTGGTGGGTTTTAAAAAATTTTACTACTGGTTCTGTGGGCGTGGCTTGATGGGCGTGACATGGTTTGGTGGGCATGGCAGGGGAAGAATACTGTAAAATCTCCATTCCCACCCCACTCCAGGGGAAGGTTACTGCAAAATCCCCATTTCCTCCCGATCAGCTGGGACTTGGGAGGCAGAGAATAGATGGGAGCGGGGCCAGTCAGAATTTTTACTACCGGTTCTCCGAACTACTCAAAATTTCCACTACCGGTTCTCCAGAACTGGTCAGAACCTGCTGAAACCCACCTCTGCTGGAAGGGATCTTGGAGGTCTTCTACTTTACTTTCCCTGTCCAAGGCAGGAGTCCTCATACCATCCCGGACAAATGATTGCCAATCTTTTCTTGAAAACTTCCAGTGATGGAGCACCCATAGCTCCAGAAGGCAAGCTGTTCCACTGATTAATCGTTCTCACTGTTAGGAAATTCCTCCTTATTTCCAGATTGGATCTCCCTCTGATGAACATCTACCCATTGCTTCTTGACCCGTCTTCAGGTGTTATGGAGAACGAATCAACACCCTCTTCCCTGTGACAGCCCTTCAAAACAGACCTTTGGTAGCTTAGAAGATTCTCAAGAATGAGTATCTTTACACATTCTCTACACATTCTGGTAGAGAGAAGTTCCCTGAGGATGGGCTCCATTCAGAGTCTGAAAGTTCAGAAGACTAAATCTCTGGTCCCAGTGATCAACCCAGACTAGATTCTCAAGAATCTTTAGAAGACCAAGAATTCTTCTAAGTCAAAGATGCTACACACTGAATGGTCCATCTCAACAGAGACTTACCTACGACTTGAGGGAGCGTCGAGGCCTCCAGATCCAGCAAAATAGAGCCTTTCTCTATACATGTCCTCAGTTCAAACAAACTGTGGAGCGACAACGTGGCAACGTGGGGTTTACTCCATCTCTCTCCTCCTTGCTCAACTTTCTCTTCAAATTTTATCCACCTGTAACGAGCAAAAGAATGGATGAGGCTGAACTTTTATCTAAATGTGGATCTCAGCCTGCTGAAAATCTGGTAAGGTGAGACTACATCAGGGATGGCGAACCTTTTCGGCACCAAGTGCCTAAACTGGAACACGCGTGCATGTGTGCATGTCCGCATGTCGGAGCGCCAGAAACCCGAAAACCAGCTGGCTGGAGCACACATGCCTGTTTTTTGACCATTTTAATCTATTTTTGGGCCATTTTTCAGGCTGTTTTCCAGCTGTTTTTGGCCCCCAAAATGGCCCGGAAAACGGCCTGTTTCTTGGCCATTTTTCAGGCCGTTTTCTGGCGCTCCGGCACCCACGAAGAACAGCTGACTGGTACGCATGTGAGCACTGGAAACCAGAAGAGCAGCTGACGATGGCGCGTATTCCCACAGAGAGGGTTCTATGTGCCACCTCTGGCATGCGTGCCAAAGGTTTGCCATCATGGGACTAGGTTGATAAAACAAAAGCAAACCTACCAGAGCAAAACTGAAGGCCACTTTCCTGCTTTCACTTTCTGTTTATCCATTTAATCATCTCTGCATACCTGCCTGCCTCATATAGTAAATCTGGGCGGCCTACATAGTAATAATCAAAAGTATATAAAAGCCATTGAAACAACCAATTTAAATTAAAATAAACGGAAGATAAAAGCAAGCAAATAAATTTCCTTAGCATCTGCCAAAAAAGTAAGCAATAAATATATTTTTCTTAGCATTTGAAGCCTGTAGAAATTCTTAAGAGAATTGAGATACCTGATTGTGAATGTATTAACAGCGGCTAGAATTGTGTTTGCTAAAAATTGGAAAAATGAGAAAATACCAACGCAAGATGAAGTTATCAAGGTTGACTCAGCCTTCCATCCTTTCTAAGGTAGGTAAATTGAGGACCCAGTTTGTGGGGGCAATAAGCTGACTTTGTATAAATATACAAAAGAATGAAGGCTATTGCTTAGCGCATTTTAAGCCGCCCTGAGTCTCCAGAGAAGGGCGGCATATAAATCAAATTAAAAAAAAAGAAAAGAAAATAATAGAATGTGCTGAAATGAGCAAACTGACGTTTGAAATTAGAGAACAAGAAGATAAACAATATTATAAGATATGGGACTTATTTTATCAATGGCTAAGATAAAAAAATATGGAAATGAAAGATGAAAGAGATTTTTATAATACAAGAATTCTAGAATTATATAAAATATAACGTAAAGAAGTATTACTATGAGACCGATTTAGTGATGAAATGAATGTTATAATATAAATTAATTCAAATCTTAGAATATTTTGTACAAAATGAGGGAAGAATAGCTATAGTGAAATAAATGATTAATGAGGACAATAATACATAGATATATATTAGATCGATAATATAAGAATTTAGGTAAACTGTAAGCTATGAATATGGTGAAGACACACAAAAGACTTGTAACCAACCGACACACCGTGTGTAATTGAAGATGGTTTTATGTTTTTATGTATGTTTGTTTAAAAATAAAAAAGGGGCTTTTGCCTGCCAAAAAAAAAAGAAGAAGTCTGTAGAAATTCTCAGTCATCCAGGTCATGGTTGTCCCAAAGATGTTTTTTCCATTGAAGACGTTTCACTTCTCATCCAAGAAGCTTCTTCAGTTCTTCCATTCCCCACTATCCTATCAGAGCTGAAGAAGCTTCTTGGATGAGAAGCGAAACGTCTTCAAAGAAAAACCAAGGAAGTCCAGTTGCCTCCTGAAAAAGCATCTTTGGGATTAGCAAGTCAAAGTGACATAAGAATCTAAGACTCCTACTTAGCTGCAGACTCAGTCCAAGTGCAACTGGTTCGTACTTATGACCGTTGCTGTGTCCCCACGTCATGTGACCCCATTTTGCAACCTTCTGACAAGCCAAGTCAATGGGGAAAGCCAGATTCACAACTGTGGCAAAAAAAAATGTCGTAAAATGGGGCAAGACTCACTTAACAAAATGTCTCACTTAACAACTGAAATTCTGGGCTCAATTGTGGTCGTAAGTCAAGGACCACCCAGCCTTTCAAAAAAAAAACACCACAGAATTAGAACATTCCAGACTCTTTTTTTGGGCAATTATCTTCTCTTTAAGTTACAAAACAGTAGCAAAGGGTTAGTTATGGGATTGCACAACTCCTTTCTCCAAATCAACACAACTTCATCAATCAAGCTGTGGGACCAGGAGCCAAAACAAAAGAAGTTCTGTGACTGTCCTTGCTCTTTAAAAGGTTTAATCTTCAAGTGACAAAGCTTAACAACTTTTATGGCTTTGTTGTTTGAAGCTTCAGTGTCATCTAGTTACCAGAGCATCAGGGAAAGCTGCACAAACATTCTCCGAAAAGAACAAACCCACAAATACCAGCGCATCAGCTAAGGGCTAATAACCTTTTCGCTCGCTATAACAGAACGAAATAAATCGCATCTGTACAACAGTTGGAGAAATATCTGAGCTAAGGAACTCGGAACCATTGAGAAATGTAACCATGGTTTGCTGAATAAGTCAAAACCGGCGGAATTCTACGTACGGTGTTGCAATCGAGTCACGAAGCAGAGTTTACAAATGATAGTAAGGAGGGGAAAAAAAGCAAAAGTATGCATGGAGCTGGAAAATGAAGTCAGAAGTCAGAATAACAGAGTTGGAAGGGATCTTGGAGGTCTTCTAGTCCAGCCCTCTGCTCAAGCAGGAGACTACACCATTTCAGACAAGTGGCTGTCCAGTCTCTTCTAAAAAGAATCCAGTGTTGGAGCATTCACAACCTCCTTCCACTGATTAACTCTTCTGACTGTCAGGAAATTTCTCCTTAGTTCTAGGTTGCTTCTCTCCTTGATGAGTTTCCACCCATTGCTTCTTGTCCTACCTTCAGGTGCTTTGGAGAATAGCTTGACTTCCTCTTCTTTGTGGCAGCCCCTGAGATATTGGAACCCTGCTATCATGTCTCCCCTACTCCTCCTTTTCATTAAACTAAACATACCCAGTTCCAGCAACCGTTCTTCCTATGTTTTAGCCTGCAAGCCACCATTTCTAAATGCACTGTTTTGTTTGTTTGTTTGTTTGTTTGTTTGTTTGTTTGTTTGTTTGTTCAACTTCGCTTTTCGGAAGGCCAATAGGGTGGGGATGGTCTGGATCTCAGGAGGTAACTGGTTCCAGAGAGCCGGGGCAGCCACAGAGAAGGCCCTCCCCCGCGGGCCCGCCAGCCGGCATTGTTTAGCTGACGGGACCCAGAGGAGACCTGGGATCTTACCGGTCGCTGGGAGCTATGCGGTAGAAGGCGGTCTCGAAGATAACCTGGCCCTGAGCCATGTAGGGCTTTAAAGGTAATAACCAACACCTTGAATTGAATTATATTTACAGATGTATGCAATTTAAATGCATTTCGGTCGTTGGTTCTTTTAAGCAGGGGGCAAAATGCAGAAGCGTTTGGGAATTCATCCTAGAAGATGTCATTCAGGTCACTGTGCAACAGAATGCATAAAGTTCAAATACCTCAAGCAGTCTTAGCTGTGAGCTTCTTAGCAAAGACAATGAGGCTTTTGAAAAGCGGTCAGTAAAGAAGAAAACGCTGAGAAAAGGGTGGGATGAATTAATGTAAGACAGAATCATAGAGTTGGAAGGGACCTTGGAGGTCTTCTAGTCAAGCAGGAGACCCTATACCAGTGATGGCTAACCTTTTTGTTGTCGCGTGCCAAAAGGGGGGGGGCGGGGGGGGGGGGGGTCACATGTGCATGTGCCCACACGCATAATTCAATGTGCCCCACCCTCATTATTAATAATAATGTCCCTTTCTGGATCGGGACTCCTTACGCACGGTCACTCATGCCCTCGTCACTTCCCGCCTGGACTACTGCAATGCTCTCTACATGGGGCTCCCCTTGAGGAGCACCCGGAGGCTCCAACTGGTCCAGAATGCAGCCGCGCGGGTGATTATGGGAGCGTCATGGCACTCCCATGTAACACCTCTCCTGCGCGAGCTGCACTGGCTCTCGGTGGTCTTCCGGGTGCGATTCAAGGTGTTGGTGACCACCTTTAGAGCACTCCATGACCTAGGGCTGGGATATTTACGGGACCGCCTTCTGCCACCGAGAGCCTCCCACCAGCCAGTACACTCCCACAGAGAGGGGCTCCTCCGGGTGCCATTGGCCAAACAATGCCAACTGGTGGCCCCCAGGGGGAGAGCTTTCTCTGTGGGAGCACCTGCCCTCTGGAATGAGCTCCCCCCGGAGATACAGACAAGTCCGGACTTACGTACTTTCCGTCGGGCCCTCAAAACCTTTTTATTTCATCAAGTCGGGCTGGCCTAATCTCTCCAATTGTGTATTTTAATTTGGATTTTAATGGGGGATTTTAACTGTCGGGCCAAATTGTTTAATTCATTTTTAAATTGTTTTTATATTTTGTATTTGATGTTTTTTTACTTCTGGCTGTTCACCACCCTGAGTCCTTCGGGAGAAGGGCGGTTTATAAATTTAAATATTAAATTAAATTAAATTAAATGTATGGAGTTGCCTTAAGGAGCAGAAATATTAGAAATATTAAAAACGCACACAGGGGGAAAGTTACCTGCCATGACTGAAATTCAATAAAAACATTCTTTAAGGCAGAAAGCTGAGTTAGAAGAACTTTTTTTAAAAAAAAAACCAAGAGAAAATCTGAAAGGCTAATATTTAAAAGCATTGATGTCACGGATCCTGGACAATCCTGAGTCAGCGCTTCGATCAGCCCCTGCGTTACCTGACCCAGTAATTTTCCCCAAAGTGAAAAATAAAAAAGAGTTCAGACTTGGCAGAAAGATAAGTTATTATAACGTCACCGTTAAAAGTCTTCTCTAAGCAAAGCAAGGTCCGTGGAATCGCTAACCTGATTACATTAATGGCATCTTCATTAACTATTGCTTCACAGGGTCATTAATCTGGAACATTATCTCTAGGCATCTCTTCCAAAGAAACCATAAATTAGTTGGAACTAAGAAATGTTTTCGTATTTGTCTGAATTTTAAAAAAAAAACAGCCTCGAAGTGCTTCATTTGAATTAAGAGCCCAAGATTAGAGCCCAATAAGAACCTTGGTAGTACAGTGGTCTAAAGCACCCTGTTATTAAGACCAGCTGCCTGCAATTACTGCAGGTTCGAATCTCGCCAAGGCTCAAGGTTGACTCAGCCTTCCATCCTTTCTAAGGTAGGTGAAATGAGGACCCACTTTGTGGGGGCAATAAGCCAACTTTGTATAAAAATATACAAAAGTACGAAGGCTATTGCTTAACGCATTGTAAGCCGCCCTGAGTCTCCTGAGAAGGGCGGCATATAAATCAAATTAAAAAAAAAAAAAAAAAGATTGAAGGTCTGAAAATCTGCTCACTGAGTATATGATCACAGGTATCCTTGACTTACAACGGTTCGTTTAGTGACTAGTCAAAATTACGTCACTAAAAAAAAAGCGACTTACGACCGCTTGTCACACTTACGACCATTGCAGCCACCCCATGGCCACTAAATCAAAATCCAGATAGTGGGCAGCTGACTCATATTTATGACGGCTGCAGTGTCCCAGGATGGTGTGTGTGTGTGTGTGTGTGTGTGTGTGTGTGTGTGTGTGTGTACCTTTTGCGAAATTCTGACCAGCAAAGTCAACGGGAAAACCAGATCCACTTAGCAACCGCGTTACCAACTTAACAATTGCAACGATTCATTTAATGACTGCGGCCAGGAAGTTTGTAAAATGGGGCAAAATTCACTTAGCCAATGTTTCCCTTAGCAATATAAATTGCGGTCGTAGGTGGAGGACTACCCGTATATCCCAATAAGAGGATTCCATTTAATCATTAAGAATATAAATATTGCCCTGTTGCATAGTCATCACTGCCCATCTAGTTCAATGCAAACAGTCCTCGACTTAAGACCAGAATTAAGGCCAGAATTTCTGTTGCAAAGCAAGATCATTGTTAAGTGAGTGATGTCCGGTTTTATAATCATAAAACCATGGTCATGGCTGTTAAGCAAATCATTGCGGTTGTTCAGTGAAACACATGGTTGTTAAGCAAATCTGTCTTTCCCATTGACTTTGTTTCTCAGAAGCTGGCTGAGACAGTCAGTCCCATAATCATAGGATGCTGCAACTATCATATATATAGGCGAAAGGGAAGCAGTATGCTCCCTCCCACATGCTGGGGTAGACCAGGTGCCTCGATAGAAAAACATTTAATCTCTCCCCTGGCTCAAGCTGATGAAGGGAGGAGAATTTGTAGCTCAGAGGTTAATACAACTGCCTAACATGCAGGCAGCCCAAGTTTGAATCCAAGTAAGGGTATGGCTAGCTGATGAGAGCTAAATAGCTTGAAATAGATCTATACTAGTCTCCCTTTATTTCTTTATCAGCGAAATGTAAATTATATATATGTGTGTATACATACATATACATACATACATATATGTATGTTGGTTGCATGACTGCAGAGACACTGCAATGGTCATAAGGGTGAGGCTTGGTTGTACGTCACTTTTTTCAGCCCCATCATAACTTCAAACAGTCATTAAATGAATGGTCAGAAATCGAAGACTACCTATAGCCTGTTCTCATAATGATCATCAACCACCTGCATAAGGAAACCCATAAATCTCCCAGCAATTGGTCTTCAGAAATATCAAGGATGGCAACCAACAGTCCCCAGAACTTCCATAAATAAGCTATTATGTTGTAAAGTATAAAAACCCTTTTTTTTAAATAAGTGGGTGGGGTTTTTTTTGAGTGGACAAAATATTCTATATAAAACAGATTAGTTTATGTATCATGCTATCCCATGGTTTACCATATAAGCCCTTATTGAATTCACAAGAAAAGACTGGGTCTTAATATCTACGGAGATTCTCCATCATCCAGATCATAGATGTCCCAAAGGTGTTTTTCCAAAAGGCAACTGCTTTTCCTTGAAGACGTTTCGCTTCTCATCCAAGAAGCTTCTTCAGTTCTGACTATCTGAAGTCCAATTGCCTTTTGAAAAAGCACCTTTGGGACGGCTGAGCCTTAAAGTCAAGATTTTGCAAACCCACAATGACTGGGATCGTGCAACATGCTCAGCCAAAACTAAATCATCAATTATGGCTTAGTGCATTCCGTAAACCAGTTTGCATCTTGAGTAATTCTTAGCACAACCCAGTGAAGTCGGCTAGTTTTATTATTTCTATATTAGAGAAATGGATTTGAGGCAGGAAGAGAACTTATGTGTAGTAAGTTACTAGTTAGTTCCTAGTTGAGCAAAGATTTGAATGTGGGACTGCTTAATTTAGCATATATAGAGTAGAGTAGAGTAGAGTAGAGTAGAGTAGAGTAGAATAGAATAAGAGTAGGATAGGATAGGATAGGATAGGATAGGATAGGATAGGATAGGATAGGATAGGATGAGTAGAGTAGAATAGAATAGAATAGAATAGAATAGAATAGAATAGAATAGAATAGAATAGAATAGAACAGAACAGAACAGAACAGAACAGAACAGAACAGAATAGAATAGGAGAGTTGGAAGGGACCTTGGAGGACTTCTACTCCAACCCCCTGCTTAGGCAGGAAACCCTACACCACTTCAGACAAATGGTTATCCAACACCTTCTTAAAAACTTCCAGTGTTGGAGCATTCACAACTTCAGCAGGCAAGTTGTTCGACTGATTCATTGTTCTGTCAGGAAACTTCTCCTTAGTTCTAAGTTGCTTCTCTCTACATATATACATGTAGCCCCTGTTTATCTTCTCATTTATATAAAGTTGACATTTGAAAACTATTTCAATATTTTTTCAACTATTTCAATGATTGAAAACACCAGAGAAAAAGTAATACGAAATATGACTTTAATATACCTGGAATATTCTGGAATACAACTTATTCCCATTCAGCTTTCTAAAGAGGTATTTAAAATAAAATGCTGGGACAAATTCTTGCTGTTCAGAAGCATCTTCCTGAACATTGGACCGTAATGATGTCCGTACAGTGGAACCCCTTATTTTAGGAAATATTGAGCTTCCCCCAAAATTAACAGGTAGGATCGGTACAGATTCTTTGGCGTGTGGGACTTACACCTTCTTCTCAAAAGACAAAAAAGCAATCCCAACCTCAGCCCATCGAACGCTACTCACCTGGCTGTTTCCTTCCATTCAAACTCTTGTCCATCCACAGGTAGAAGTTCATCCAGTTCTGTGAAGAGCTGTGGCGGGGCGGGGCTGTCATCATCTTCTCCCAAGATGAAACGGATGCGCTCGGCGGCGGGAGAGACTGCAGAGGTGAAAATACTGCGGTTAACGGACTGTAGAACAACCAAGGAAGTGCGAGTTCTCTCCTTCACTTCCTCTCCAAAGCTGTTGGGCTGCTTCTGCTGCTGGTCTCTTCCATCTGACATGTTAACTTGGAATGTAGGCTGTTCTTTCTCTCCTTTTTTTGTCCTTAAAACTTCCCAGCTTACCTACGTACGTCTCTGTTTCTCCCTTCTTACAACTTACTTCTTAAAACTTAAAGCTTGGGGTAAAGTTCAAGAGGACAAGAAGCTTCTCTCCCCGCTCATTTAAGTTGGGTGTTCACAGCTCCTCGTCAAAGGAAAACCAGAAGAGACCTTCTGGGCTCAGCACCAACTTGTTCTCTGGTAGATGCCCAGAGAACTTTCATATTCCGATCAGCTGAGGTCCTTTTCAAGACTTTTTTCTTTATAGGCAGAGAACCGGTTGAAGCCGAACCATCTGGGGGGCAGAGGAAGCGGCATCCCATTGCCAATTTCCCCTCCCTTTTGTGCAAAATGGGAACTTTCATTGGCTTGCGAGGCAGCGTGTTACCCCTTCTAAGACTCATTACCAATGTCAAAGGGAATATTTAACAAAATAGACTCTTTCCTACTTTTGCACAGAAAGGCTGTGTGTTTTGGTCCATTTAGTTATCCGACGCACCAGTAAAAAAGAGAAAAGAAAGAGAGAGAAAAAAGAAAGGGCACTAGGCAAACCACAGAGCATCAAATTGTGTTTATATTGTGTTTGCATAAATAAAAGAAATATTAATTGGGACCTTGGGTTCTCAAATAAGTGGAAATTCATCAGCCTCCTCTTAATCTAAAAAAAAGGGAGGAAGTAAAATTTGGAGGATAAATCACAAATTGCTCAGTGTATTCTCTGTAGGGTCTCAAACAAGGATACGACAGGTAGTAACAGGGACAGAACTATATGGTCCAACGTGAAGAATTGTGTAGCACCTCAACCTGAGCTTCATGGCAAAGGTGTCATCAGACATGGTTTCTTCTCCCTAGATCTAAAACTCTTAATTAATCCAAAAGATTATAAATGTCTAGAGTTTTGATAAAGAGATCTGCTGTTCTTCCAGGTTTCATTGTCCGCATTTGAAAGGAGGTTAATAGAATTCCATTAGTAAACCCAGAACTCACCTAAAACTATTTTGAAGACCTGATCTAAGGTGCATTACTTTACTTTCTGCATCTCACTACACTCTGTGGATTGGTAATCTTTAGAATAAGAGGTGATCCTTAGCATGTGAAAAATGAAGAAATAAGCCATAGGGACAGCAACACTCTTATAATTAAATTTATGAATGCAAATTATTAAATACTTGCGTGCATGAAAACCAACAGACAATTAGTATACAATGGGGTTAGAAACTGGAGTGATTAGAAGGTTATTGCTAAGTTAATCATTTTCATTAGTTACTCCATGTATACACATTAGTATTACTAATATCTTAATACTGCCAGTTAAAGTCTTCCCTTGCTTATTAATCAGCTAAAAAGTCTTAAAAAACAGACTATGGTATAAAAAGAGTTTGGAAATATCTTGTGAACTCTTCAAGGAATATTCTTAAATAATTGAAAGATTGATACAAACAATATTTCCCACACTATATACCAAGGCGTGGGTGGGTGGGTGGGTGGGTGGGTGGGTGGGTGAAGGAAGGAAGGAAGGAAGGAAGGAAGGAAGGAAGGAAGGAAGGAATCCACTCCAGTCAAAGCTACTCAATACAACTCTTTACAAGAGAGAAAGAAGATAGTTCATTGACTCCAATTTAATTCATTCAAATAGTTGAGATTTGGCAAAAGTTCTACTAACCTTTGCCCTAACTAATATATTTTTGGGGAGGACTGAACCCAATTCTTTCCTCATTTCCTAGGTCACAATCCCAGATACTTTTACCTCAAAAAGTGGCCCAGTGATTTCTTAGAAATTAATTGGTAAAGGAACCCCTTTATCCGAGGGAGCAGCTTCCATAGTAGATGCAACATCTCCAGTAACCTGCTCCAAGAAAGAAATCCTTACTTGAACATAGATTACTAACTTGGAGAAAGCCTCTTAATTCATTGACAAGTCAACAGTTCAGGAAAAAGTAACAGCTAGGACCCACATCCCTTATCCAATTATTTTGCAGGTTTTGAGATGTCCAAATCCCTATTGAGGACTGTTAAAAGAATCACTGGTTCCATGGAACGCTGACCAAGGTGCTGATTTTGACTTCCATTGAATGTTCCACCACATTGAATACCTCCTAATCTGCCAATACCTGTAGTCATCATCATCCTTGGGAAGGATTGGATGGGTGGTTAAAAAATACCAAATTCAGTCTAAACATTTGGCTGACTATACAACAAACCACAATAGGTCCTTGGGAGAGACTTGACTTCTGGAGCACCACTTGAATCTCATAGACATTGACAAAATCACCATCAGTCAATTGCAAAAGGCAGCTTTACTTGGAACAGCTTATAACCTGTGATGATACCTTTAATATTATATTTTTTTAAAATAACATCTGCCTATCTTAGATCCTTGGGAAGGACTTGATAGGTAGATAAAAATATCAAATTCAGTCTAAACATCTAGCTGACTGTGCCACTAACCATAATCATATCATCTTAACTAAATAAAGCAAGGTGTTCTAATTTAGGCATCCAGATATATAGATTGTAATTCTCAATATCTCTCAGCCAACATCTGGTTGGTCAATGAAGGAAAAGTAGTTGAGACTCAACTGTCCCAACAGTTTCCATATACACATGTGGTTTACTTATTTAAATATAATGTCCTGGTACGGCCACACTTGGAATACTGCATCCAGTTTTGGTTGCCATGATGTAAAAAAGATGTGGAGACTCTAGAAAGAGCGCAGAGAAGAGCAACAAAGATGATTAGGGGACTGTAGGCTAAAACATATGAAGAACGGTTGCTGGAACTGGGTACGTCTAGTTTAATGAAAAGAAGGACTAGGGGAGACATGATAGCAGTCTTCCAATATCTCAGGGGCTGCCACAAAGAAGAGGGGATCAGGCTATTCTCCAAAGCACCTGAAGGCAGGACAAGAAGCAATGGATAGATACTAATCAAGGAGAGAAGCAACTTAGAACTAAGGATAAATTTCCTGACAGTTAGAACAATTAATCAGTGGAACAACTTAGCTCCAGAAGTTGTAAATGCTCCAACACTGGAAGTTTTTAAGAAGATGTTGTATAACCATTTGTCTGAAGTGGTGTAGGGTTTCCTGCTTAAGCAGGGGGTTGGACTAGAAGACCTCCGTCCCTTCCAACTCTGTTATTCTATTCTATTCTTAATGAATCCACCCATTTCTACAATTAAAGTAGAGTTGTACAATTGTACAGTCTTTCCTTCTATTTTCTTTTTGACTTGGCTTTAAATGGCGTTTCATTTGGAGTTATGACAAAGTTCCCAATACAGAATTTTTTGGATCACAAGATCTGCTGCACCTCAACCTCCACCAAACGTTCATTTTAGTACCATTGGAAATTAATGGGCCGTTCATTAGTTATTTTCAAGCTCTCTTTAGTTTAGAACAACATTTTTTTTTCATCTTGGCCTCCAGAGGGAACAGGTTGTGCTCAGCAAGTATTACATACAATCGAGGGTCAAGCTAATTACCCTAAAGTAATGAACTTCAAACTTTTCCCTCCTCCTCTTGGACCCACATGGGCAACGGACAAATTTCTTTTGCTTAAAAAAAATAAATAAATATCCAGACTCATACAGCATCTCAATTCATTTGACACACTTAATAAGATGCTGAAAAAGATACCATTAAGGACTTTTTTTTTTTTTTTTGCCAGTTTTACTAATTTTCCCTTTCATGGTGCCTCAGTGCTGGGGTGACAAACTTAGGATGTAAGTCCCAAAGATGCTTTTTCAAGAAGCAACTGGACTTTCTCTGTTTTTTCTTGAAGATGTTTCTCTTTGAAGACGTTTGAAAACAAAGAAATCCCAGCTGCCTCTTGAAAATGTGCCTTTTGCACAATTATGGCCAGGATGTAAGCATAATGGATAACTCGATCCATGATCTGAAGAACATTCTAATTTGTGAAGTCGAAAGTTATCAAAGTTAGTTTTACAGTTTTACAGTGTTTTAACAACGATTTTACCCCAAAATTCTGATGTGGATGATTACAAAATTGCAGTACAATATATTGTGTGTAATATGTTGTAGATTTTTTATTCAGCTGTGATGATCATACATGACCTTCCATTCCACACGTCCCAAATCAAAAGCTTTGAAGAGTCAGTCAATCAGTGACTCATTCATATGAATCAGCTCAAAATGAAATTAATGGCATAGAATTTACCACCCACTCATACAATACTCTCTTCCCCTTTTGTTTCATCAACAAGAGGTAAGAAATCTGCATAATAGATTTCTATATGAGTCCTTTGTAAATGAAAAGTATGCATACGTCAACAGGAAAGATCTACACAGCACCTCTATAAATCTTTAAGAGATTAACTATTTATTCTGGCAGCGTTGGAGAATTCTAGAAGCTGAACCCCCAAAACATCTGGAGTGCCCCATTAATGAAGAGATATGGCCAATGAGAAATAGAAAGACAATGGACAAAACAGTATTAGTGACAGATTTCTAACTTCTTGACCTAGAATTAAATTGTGTAAGAAACTCTAAGCAAGGATTAGCCAAGATAGTTCTCTGCACTATATTCTATGCTAGCATTCACCAATGTTAAGCACCTCAATCTATTTGCCAGGTCAGAAGTATTTCCTGACATACTTGATTCCAAGGAAAACAGTGCCACTGACCACGTACAAAGTGCTTGTCACCAATCTAATGCAGCACATTCTCTTAAAGAGACGAACATTTATTCAAAATAATTACCATGGTGGATATAAGCCAATGTACAGGTAGTCTTCGACTTACGACAATGGAGTCAAAAATGTAGGTTGCTAAGCAAAACATTTGTTAAGTGAATTTTGCCCCATTTTACAAGCTTTTTT